ACATTGTTATGCAGTCTGAGAAATTTGTAAAAGTGTGTTTTGTGGTGATTTCTTAATAGAAGATTCAATGACTACTTAATTCCCCCCTACGCAAAAAATCTGATTTCTTTATATGCTGCAGGTTTATCTTTCACAGGTAGCGATAAAATACACACTTCATAATGATGAAAAGTTCCAACAGCAACACGGCAATAAAATTTAATTTTAAAGTACTAAAGAATACTTAGATTTTGTTCTGGTAAAATGCAATACTCTCTTCCTTTCATCTGATTAAGAAGTTATAAAAATGTGCACACTTTCCGTGATAGGATGTATGACACTGAGAGCCTTCCTAGATTTACTAGTAACAGACTAAAGGAGACAATCAGATATGAATAGAAAAGGTCTGGTTTTCTTCAATAAAAACGAACGGGCTTCTAGCAACTGTTACTGCACATATTTTGCTTTCATTTTTATATGCTTCAATATAAATGCATCAGGTGTGAAAATAAGCTTCTTAAATAAATTGTAGTTTCAGTTAAAAATAATTTTAAATCAGTAGCCTGAGAGAGAGAACAACACTGCAGTGTTATCTTTTGCCTCTGAAGACAGGAAAAACTTCCCACAACAATACATTTAACGAACCAGAACACTCGGAATTAAAGTTTTCAGGGCACTCAAAACACACCAACTTTCACATGCTTTGTTCTGAATCCTCTTCAATCTCTATCAGTTCAACCTTGCTCAGAAGGCTCTGGGGCTCTTTTATTTCAAACTTTTCCAGAAAGCCTGGAAGGCTTCGGACAGAATTTAACAATTTCAGGATCTTTTATGTCCGATCACTCTATGGCATCGCAAAACAGAAGTGACACTTTCTATATCAAAGAGGACCGTTACCTCCCGTACCCCTGGCCAATGTGTAAGATTTTTAAAAGTGAAAGTTAGAAAAATAATCTTCTTCATCCCGACATATTTTCAATCCTCTTAAAACAATCTCAGCAGCTATATATAGTACGAAATTAGCTCTCGCCTGTTACCCTTGTTCCTACATAGAATTTTCTAATGTGTCTCACCAGTAATAAATTGTAAACGAGGCTATGACTCTAAGAGTAGACAGTGTGTTTCATGGGTATTTAAACAACAGCATTAAGTACTATAGGAATCTGTGGAATGTGGAGTGCAGATTTATGTGTCTTAACAATTTCTTTACTGGTTTGTAATAAGCCAGCAAACTAACACTTTATTTTTATATTAATTTGGCCTCAGAAGCAGAGTATACTGGAGCATGACAAGAACAACAAAAATAAACTGGCATATACTTAATAACTGTAACAGTGAATTGCCTCCAATACTAAAATATTTATCGAAACTGGGGGAAAAAAAAACTAAAAAGAATTACCCTCAACAGCCTGCTACCAGCTCTTTAACAGTGGGCAATGTAATGCCTTAAGGTACCTCAAACTGTCTTTCATTTTCTAGACTTAATGGCTGATTGCAGAAATCAATGTTGCCATTAGTAACAGAGTATTTGTTATGGCATGATTTCCTCTGTTGTTAGGCTTGCAGAATGATTACAGTATTAGTGAGGTGCTTTCTTCATAAAGGGCTGAAGATATAACTTTCAATTTACTATCCATTAGTAAGTGACTTTGGAAATATAGATGAGGCCAGAAATCTTACCTGTTATTACTTGGAGATTTTATTTCAGCAGTCATAGGCTAGTAACTTTAAAAATTGTACCAGGAAGCTCAATATTTTATAGACATCTCCAATGAAATACTATCTGCTTTGCTATTTCATACACAGCAACTTAACATGACATACAATGCAATTAAAATGTTTCAGTCCAATTTCTATTTTTCTTGTACTTTCAAATAGACATGAATTAAGCAGAAGGCCTCATACATGTTAAAATGTGCACATAAATTAATAGACTGTCAAAAAGTTGGTAATTTGTATTTTTGAATCTCTTTTTAACCAGTCCAGTGGCCAGGTACAAGTACATATCTCAGCTGAGTAACTGATATGGTTGTGGGAATAAGGTCAATCAGAAAGGTTAGCCAACATGCTGTTTATTAATCCCATTTCTTTGAACTATAGCTCAAAGAGGCATCTTTCCTCAACCCTGTACATGGAGGACACGGAAAGATCTGCAAGAGAGACACCATGAATAGAAGAGGAGTGAAAAAAACCACCTTCCAAAACCTGGAGAGAGAGGCCCTGGAAGCGACATTGCCATTGGTGACTGCACACACCCTGCACGCTGCTGCTGGCGCGGTGGCGGAGGTGACAGCAGAAAGGCCAGGAGACCTGCCCTTGGAGGGGAGAAAAGGGTGAGCCGAGAATTAACCTCGAAGGCACCGCGGGAACCCAAGCACAGATGTTTTGGCATATAACACCATGTCCCTGCGGACTGCTAGGAAACAACCTAACAAGAGAATGCATAAACTACTTTGCTGCTGTGATTTCAAATACAGCTACAAAGCTTTCAGTGCAGAGAGGGAAGAAGAAGTTCTCATACCTGAAGAGGAGGGTGAGGAAGGATGTGGGCTGTCCTCTTGGGCACTCCCTGTCTGTGAAAGACCCCCACCTACTCCGCTTTCTTCAGTAATGTTAGAGGACCCCGGTGTTGTCGACCTGCTGACAGACTGAGACTCTTGATCGCTTCCAGACCCACGTCGCTCATCAAGGCTACCTTGAATTATGTCATCATCTCCCTTCCTGTCTCTTTTGTGGACCCTGGAGTGTACAACCACTTGGTGGTATGTTCTAAAAACCCTTCCACAGTCCGGGCATTCAGTTGGCTTTTCTTTTACGTTTCCATGACTTTGTAAGTTGTAATCGAGTCCCTGGTTCATACCATGTGACAAAAAATCTCTACCGCCTTCTAAAGGGTCTAGTTTGTTTGGCAAGTCTCTCTGATTGCCCATTTTAGTGCTGTGAACCAAATCAGCAGGCATTTTCTGCTTAGAGCCATCTGCTCCTACTAACACATACTCTCGCTTCTCCTTATCAAACATAACTCCAGCATTTGCCAAAGTGTCTTCATGGCTGCGATGTATCTGCTGCTCTTTAGACAAAAAGCCATGTTCCATGGCCATTCCCCTTGCCATAAGCTGCCAGGCCTGATAACTGTTTACTGGATCCATCTCTGCCGCTTTGGCAGCAGCTTGTAACCTTTCTATACAGCTGGATTTCAGAGGAGGCACCAGATTGAGACAGCCCAATAAAGAATGTTTATCCCCTTCAGCAATACTGTGACCAATGCCAGAAATGGGCGAAAGGAGCTTCCCCAAGACTTCTTTCTCTTTCATGGGCATATCTCCTTTGTTATAGATTGGATTTTGTTCACTTAAACTCGCTTTGTCGGGAGGAAGAAACCCACTCTGCAAACATGACAGGTATCTTGAATATAAGTTTGCATGAGCTTCCTGGGACATGCTGCTGATGGAGACAGGTACTTCAGGGTCATTAGGAGATTTGTTCTTTACAGATAACTTATTCAGGTGAACTTTCATGTGATTTTTAAGAAACCAAGGCTCTTTGAATCGCCTCCCGCAGATCTGACAGCAGTGTTCAAAGGAATCCTTGTGCTTTCTCATGTGGCCTTTTAGGAACCAGGCCTGGCTAAACACTTGGCCGCACACCTCACAGCGGAACTCGTTGGTGGATTGCTCTCCGTTCCCATTGGAGCCCTGGCCCTGTGCTGACTCTGCAGTTATGTGAGCCTTCTCCACGTGGCTGATCAGCTCCTCCTCCTGCGAGGCGGCAAAGTCACACAGGGTGCACTTGTAAGGCTTGTGCAGGATCCTTATGTGCCTGTCCAGCTCTTCGCGCTTCTTAAACTTGCCTTTGCAAAACGTGCATCTGAACCCAGCTGTCTGAGCGACAACTTCTTCCTGGACGCTGACTGGCTTTGGAGAGGGAACAGGGTTTGAAATATCAGGTGTGCTGTGATTAGGTGGCACAGACAAGTTACAGTTTGCGAGAGGCATTGGCTGGGCGTGCTGCTGTGCTTTCACGTCAGGTCGTGGCTGCAAGAGGCTGCTCTTCATCTGTTTGTCCCGAAGAATTGCTCTCTCCTCCAGCTCATGTAAAAGTCTGTTTTCTTCTCGGACTCTTCCACGACCTTTGCCAAGGTTTCCAAGCTTATGAGTACGCAGGTGTATCTTCAGGTTGCCTTTCTGAGCTGCTCTGTGGTCACAGTATGGACACTTAAATGGTTTCTCTCCAGTATGAGTTCGCATGTGTAGCGACAGGATGCTGTTAAATCGAAAGCGTTTCCCACAGAGGGGACATGGGTACTTTCTGTTCTTCCTGGCATCATCCTCTATATCACTCATCTGAGACATAATCCCTAAATTTTGTCCATTTAAGAACTGCTGCAGGTCCACGCGCCCGTTCAAACTGGTGTCAACCTCTCTGTTGAGCTGGTTTGCCAACAGTGCCATCTGACTGCTGATGGGCTGGTTTGCTATGGACATGTGGCTTTTGTCTTCTAGCGGCGCTGATGCCTTCTCCTCGGGATTCTGCCTGTTCTGGAGCTCCGGGAAGGCATGGCTGAGCTGGGAAGTGATCTGGTGCAGCTTCTGGCTCATTGAATACTGCCCATTGAGTATGGTGGTGTTGAGATGGGCGTCAGCTTCTGGCACAGCTGAAGAAACACCAAGGCACAAACTAGCTTCCTCCATCTCTGAAAATCAGAAGATATTTTAGATTCAGACTGTGAAAGAGTTACAAGCATTGAATCACTGAAGTACAATTTGCATTTTATGTTTTACCTACCCATAATAATGCAAAGGAATTAGTGTTAAAACAATAAAAAGTGTATTAAATGCCAACTGTGCTACACAATTTTGATCATACGTGTGTTTTCATCATTCTGCATGTTTACCAATAATCATTAATTACTATTTTAAAATACGCTACAATTTCAAAATCTAATTATTACGGAAAGGGCAAAGGCTTTTACCACCTCCCTTGTCTTTCTTCTTATGAAATTGCACCTGTTTACACTTCTAAATCTATGGAAAAAGAATCGTTATGCATCTCTTCCATTTCCATTAGAAAAGCCAGAAAAAAAATAAAATCCATTTGTAACTTTCAGTTCCATTAAGCATATTCAATATATTACATATTCTACAATGAGAAAGATAGTTCTATGACTTGACAAAAAAACGATGGTATGATATTTACTGGTGTACAATAAAACAAGATAATGTTTTGGGAAAAAATAAAGTAAAGGACAAGCTTTAGAACAATAAAAGGGATTTTGCTTTAGTCAACAAAAAGTGCAGTAATATCTCATTAAGCTGATTAGTATGCTGCTTAGAAACAGTACTAGGTGCTGTAACACATGATTATAATCATAAAAATCCTTCAGTGTTTGCAAGTAAGCATTAACGAGGTATATTAAATTTTAAGGAGACTGCGACTAGCAGCTTTGTAAACCTCTGAGATTAAGATTTAACCCTTCTGTTTCAAAACATTGTTATTTTGTCATTTTGAAACTGAGCCCATCAAAAGGCACACAAATTATCTTCTGCCAAGTCTTTTAATTCACCATTGAGAATCTTCAGATTTCAGTTCTTAGGAAAACTCGCCAGATTATGGAAGGAATATCTCTGTCCTCCGATGGGTAAAACATGTGATTTAAGGCACTTTGATTTGTTTTAAAGAGCTCTCTTATGGAACTAGATAAAACCAATTAAAATCTGGCGAAGGTGCTGTGGAAAGCCTCAACAAGTTTAAGAATTTTAATAACTTTCCTAATACACAGTAATGACTACAAATTGTACCTACACTATGTATATTGCAGAAAATTAGAATTCAAAGCTGTTTGTTAAACACAAGTGCTCTGCTCTGGTCTGCATAATTGTCCACAATAATCTTCTATCCTTGCCACTTCTCTACTCTATACAGAAATAATGTATCTATAAAACTCTATTTAAGATATAAAGTTTCACATTAATAACTCTCAAACTATATGATGTTATAAGGTTATATTAGAACATAATTAAGATCTGTGTTGTTCAGCGCAGTGATTTGACACTTTATTCACTAGTAAAATTAATGAATTCTATACGTTATTGAATAATTAATGGTCCACTTTCTGTTTGGCTTTAGCCAAAAGCATTGGCTCACTATGCCCTCTACAAAGGCTGCAGGCACACTCCAGGTGGACACCATTCCTCACACGGCTTCGCAGTGGCCACTTGCTAGAAAATTTGAGGCCCAAATCTGGCACATACTTAAATGGTGCTCATGGGAGTTGTCCAGTAGACTTCAAAGGGTGACTCTTGAAAGCAGAGTCCCACACATGCTTAAGTACTTGCAGGATCAGGGCCTAAAAAAAAACCTATGGGTGGTCTCCAAGAGGAGACATATTTGGTCTTTGACAGGATGATTGAGGCTGTGATACAATGCAGATCTTGTAAGAAGTAAAGGGGGAAATGTATATTCCTGTGTATTAAAGATGAACGTGAGCTACAAAATTTTGCTTAGATGTAAAGCAGATATTTTTCAAAGTTTAACAGTGCTCAGATTCAGGTTCCATTTTAGAGTCCCATTACTTAGATGCTGTCAATGTTGTTATTTATAAAGATATTAATGAGATCAAGTATATAAAAGGAAAAGGCTTGTACCTATAAGCTATAGGACCGCACTTAAGTTTTCCTTGCAGTGTCTGATTTCCAAAGGTTGCCTTGATAGGCAAGGCTGGTGTTCACCCAAGGACATGCAGCAAACAAATAAAATTCTGGGTTTCCATGAACGTTTTGTGTGCAGCAGACCACAGACATTCAAAATGTTGGTACATACAAACACTTTTTTAAAACAATTTCGAAAGTTAACTTTTGGAATAAACCAAATTTCATCTTCAAAGGATTAGCGTAACATCTGAGGGTTGTAGTGATTAGGCCTGCCATTGCCTGAAGTTAACTGAGATTTTGAGTATCTGCCTACCCACTTCCTAAAAATAAATGACAAAAAGACCCAAACAAAACCAAAACAAGCCAGAATATACTTTCTGTCTGGGTTCCACATACCACAGGTGCTATTTCTCCTCGCCATGCTTAAACAAAGCACGTTGACAAACAAGAAGATAAAAAAATCGAAGAAATGCATTGCATGTGCACACATATACATATCTTGAGGAGGGTTTAGAAAACGTGAACTGTCATTATTCTACAACAGCCTGAGAAAAGCAGTCTAAATTTCATTTATTCAGTTGACCTCAATGAGAACTGGTGCCTTTACATGCTAAGAAAGGTTTGGGTAGTTAATTTTAGCATTTTATGCTCTACCGAAGTTTGGAAATGCTGACAGATCCCAGTGGAGTTTATTAATTTTGATGTTTAACCCTATGCATCAGTTCAAACGTATGGTTGTTTGGACTGAGGAGGAGAGAGGGAGTTGTGGTTGAGATTTTAAGTTATTCTGTGGCTCTTTTTCAAAGGTAACTTTATTAAAAATAACAATGACAGTTGTGGTTAGAACATGATATTTTTTTCCAGGATTTTTTTGGGGTTTTTTTTGGTATTTTCTCTCTTCCACAAATATACAGACATTTATAACATAGGATATAAATTGGATGAGTTGAAAAAAAATCAAGAAGACCAAACCCATAATTTTTCATTTAAAAACCAATGATTTGGAATCAAGTCTGAGGAGCCTGACCTGTGGACATTGATCTTTTGGCATTGGACATTTTATACTTTTTTTATTAAATATGCAGAAAGACAGGCAAAACCTTTGATTAGTGAGAAATAACCACCTGTAAATGCTGCATATTCTGATCGGCTGTTCAGTTTCTAGGGTCCAGCTACCGCAATCTCAAGATGCTACAGTGCTTCACTTAAACTGTATTCCTCCCCTCACCTACCCCAGCTTCTTGAAGTCCCATCTCCTGCCTCTGGCTTTGAATTGTCAGATAAGACAAATCAAACTCTTGGTATTCTTCAGCCCATTCACAGCAAAACCTACCAAAATCTCATCTTGTATCCACTTGCAAGACAGAAATAAAACTCCTCCTCATCCATCATCCCACTATGAATTAGATAACCCAATCTAATTTGCCTAAGTTCTCTAAAAAAAATTAGCAATTTCATTCTCTTCCTCTTTATCCATCATCCCTGTCTAGATCTATGACCAGACAGGGTTACGCTAGGTGGGGTAGGGGGCTTTCATTCCCCAGTGGGCCTCTTGCTTCAGGCCTTGCAGGCCAAGGTCCCCAGCTTGGTGCCATGGTGGTCACTGCACAGCCTCTACCCATCTGCTAGGACCCGGTCTCAGGGTCTGGCTGCTCTACACAACATCTTAGGGGTGCAGAGGTGCTTCTGCACCGCAGATATGCTCACAGCAGGCAGTTGTCCTGCCTCCACATGGACACCGCCATCTTCTTCAGACTGGCATACTTTTAATGTATCCATTCTGCCCCAAAACCCATATACTAAAACCAGTAAAAAAAAACCCCAGTGAATTGATCTCATTGAAATCTACCTTTTAACAGCTAACTAGTTCATAATTTCATGTGTTTTGACAAACATTTTTCTCAACATCTTTCTTCATTATGTCCTGCCCTTCTTGCCTCCCCAAACCGAAACACTAGATACTCAAAAATAAAAAATCTGGAAATGCCAATTTGTAAGTGCTGATATAATGCTTCACAGGATGGAAAATTTCTAGTGTTCAGTTTTTAAATATATAGTCTATTGCATTATTTTCATGATAAGGAAAACACAGAACATTTTGCCACCGCTCGTACTGGGAACAGAAGCACAATGTTCCCTGCAGTTAACATATGTTTACAAAATCAACTACAAATCAAATTTGAGATTGTTAAGAAATTCAAAATATGTTTGTTGAAATTTATGGAGTAAATTTTTTGACCTTTAATTATCTCCAGTGTTTTGCAAAGACAGCATCCTCCAAGACATGGCACTGCACAGAGCATGCTGGTATCAGGGGTTGTTCACGGGCTGCTTTTCCTAACTTAACCAAACGAGCCCGAACGAGCCACTCCAGCCCAAAATCCTCACCCTGCTACACGTACACAGGCCACAAACCAGCCTGGTTTGTACTGGGCAGGCTGGGAGCGGCCCTTCAGTAGGATACAAAGCAACTATCAGAGGACAGTCATTTGCTGCTGGGCGTGCAGTTTCCTATTTCATGAGGAGGGCACTCAGCTTATGAAATTCACAACTGGATACATATATTATAAAAATACTCTCTCATCTCCCACATGAAGGTACAGTGAGACATTCAAGTCCCTTTGATGATACTAATAGTTATTTTGATTTCACTCACATTTTTGCCCTCAAGACTATTTCCTGTGATATCAATAACGAAAGTTCTGACTTTAGCCATTTCAACTGAACACACAGATTTTATTTAACTATTTGAAATGGATTACTGGAATTTAAAACCAATTATGACACCAGAAATGCCTGTCATCACAACTACATTAATGTAATATGAGAAGCTTGGCTTCCTTTTGCTGGAAACAGAGGCAAAAAAAGAGATGACAAACAGAATAAAAAAGTTTAAATATAAATATGTGCCTACATGTACGCATATGCAGACACACACACATGTGCACAGGTACACATATATGCCTGCACACACCTGTTATCTTTGTAAGCAGATGGACCAAATTCAGCTCTCATTTACACCTGTTCATTCCTACTGGACAC